CACAGTTGATTCTTCCTAACCATGAAATGGAATGTTTGTCCATCTGTTTGTGTCCTCTCTTATTTCGTTGAGCAGTGGTTTTTAGTTCTCCTTGAAGAGGTCCTTTACATCCTTTGTTAGTTGCATTCCTAAGTATTTTATTCTCTTTGTAGCAATTGTGAATGGCAGTTCGTTCTTGATTTGACTCTCTTTAAGTCTGCTATTGGTATATAGGAATGCTTGTGATTTTTTCACATGATTTTGTTTCCTGAGACTTTGCTGAAGTTGCTTATCAGTTTCAGGAGATTTTGGGCTGAGACAATGGGGTCTTCTAAATATACAATCACGTCACCTGCAAATAGAGACAATTTGATGTTCTCTTTTCCTAATTAAATATTCTTTATTTATTTTTCTTGCCTGATTACTCTGGCTAGAACTTCCAATGCTATATTGAATAGGAGTGGTGAGAGGGGGCATCCTTGTCTAGTGCCATATTTCAAAGGGAATGCTTCCAGTTTTTGCCCATTCAGTATGATATTGGCTGTGGGTTTGTTGTAAATAACTTTTATTATTTTGAGATACGTTCCATCAATACCTAATTTATTGAGAGATTTTAGCATAAAGGGCTGTTGAATTTTGTTGAAGGCCTTCTCTGCATCTATTGAGATAATCATGTGGTTTTTGTCTTGGTTCTGTGTATGTGATGAATTATGTTTATAGACTTGCATATGTTGAACCAGCCTTGCATCCCTGGGTGAAGCCTACTTGATCGTGATGGATAAGCTTTTTGATGTGCTGTTGCAATTGGTTTGCCAGTATTTTTTTGAAGATTTTTGCATCTATGTTCATCATGGATATTCGCCTAAAGTTTTCTTTTTTAGTTGTGTGTCTGCCGGGTTTTGGTATCAGGATGATGATGGTCTCATAAAATGGGTGGTGAAGGATTCCCTAATACATTTTATTTATCCTTTCATCAATTGATAGGCATTTGGATTGTTTCCACTTTTTTCTTTTCTTTTTAGTTTACACATAATTTTACATATTTATGGAATGCAGACTGTTATTTCCATATGTGTAATGATCAACTCATGGTAATTAGCATCCATCACCTCAAACATTTATCATTTCTTTGTGTTGTGAGCATTAAAAATCCTCTGTTCTAGCTTTTTGAAAATATACAATAAATTATGGTTAACCACTTTCACCCCACAGTGCTGCAGAATACCTGAACTCGTTCATCCCATCAAAGTGTAATTTTGTAATCATTAACCAAGCTCTCCCCATTCTCCCTTCTTGCTATCTTTCCCATTCTCTGATAGCCACAATTGCACTCTACTTTTTCTTAGCTTCCACAAGTGAGGACATGTGGTATTTATCTTTCTGTGCTTGTCTTATTTTGCTTAACATCATGTCTTCCAGGCTCATCCATGTTGCTGCAAATGACAGGCTTTCATTCTTTTTTGTGGCTGAATAGTATTCCAGTGTGTATAATGCCACATTTTCTTTATCCATTTGTCTGTTGATGAACATTTGAGTTAATTCCATATCTTAGCTATTGTGAGTAGTGCTGCCGTAAACATGGAAATGCAGGTATCCCTTTGATAAACTGAGTTCCTTTCCTTTGGGTAAACCCAGTAGTGAGATTCCTGGATCAAATGGTAGTTCTGTTTTTATAGAAATCTCTGTACTGTTTTCTGTAATGACTGTATTGATATATATTCTCACCAACAGTGTTTAGGAGTTCTCTTTTATCTGCATCCTCACTAGCATTGTTATTTTTTGTCTTTTAGATAATAGCCATTCTAACTGGGATGAGATGATATCTCATTGTGGTTTTGATTTGCATTTCCATAATGATGATTTTTCATATGTTTGTTGACTATTTGTGTGTCTTCTTGAGGGGTTGTTTGGAGATTTGAGCAGGGGAGTGCGGCTACTTGTATAACCCAGACCAATAACTTGTCCCCCTCTATCAGGGTTGGTCATCCTCTTTGACTGAGCACGCAGCTTTGGGAGGGACACACATGGAACAGAGAAGGAGCAAAGGGACACCTGCCTAGCCAGCCAGATCAGCTAAATCAACCCTGGTGATCAATGGGGTGGCAGATGTTGCAGCTGCATCACCCTCACATATGTCTTCTTTTGAGAAATGTTTTCTCAGTTCCTTTGTCCCCTTTTTATCAGATTATTTTGCTTATTTGCTGTTGAGTTGTTTGAGTTCCTTGTATATTCTGGTTATTAGCCCTTTGTTGTAAGACTAGTTTACACATGTCTTCTCCCATTCTACAGGTTATCTCTTCACTTTGTTGTTTCCTTTGTTGTGTATAATCTTTTTAGTTTGATATCATCCATTTTTCTGTTTTTGTTTTGTTGCCTTTGGTTTTGAAGTCTTAGCCAGAAAATATTTGCCAAGATCAATGCCCTGAACCATTCCCCTTGTTTTTTCTTCTAACAGTTTTATAGTTTCAGGTCTTATGTTTGAGTCTTTAATCTGTTTTGAGTTGATTTTTGTATATGGAGATATAGGAGTCTAGTTCCATTGTTCTGCATATGGATGTCAAGTTCTCCCAGCACCATTTATTGAAAAGGGTGTCCTTTTTCCCAGTGTATATGCTTGGTGGTTTTGTTGACTGTAAATGCATGGATTTTATTATGAATAGTACTGCTATAAACATTCAAGTACTTGTCTTTGTATAAACATAGATTTTCATTGCTTTTGGGTATAAACCTAGGAGTAGAATTGCTGGGTAATATTATAACTCTGTTTAATTTTTGAGGAAATGCCAGACTGTTTTCCAAAGTGGCTGACTCATTTTACATTTCCATTAGCAGTATATGACAGTTCCAATTTGTCCACATCCTCACCAACACATTTTATTATCTGTATTTTAAATTATAGCCATCCTAGTAGGTATGTTGTGGTATGTCATTATACATTTATCTAGTGGCTAATAATGTTGGTCAATTCAGTTTTTAGGTCATATGTTTTAATGAACAATTACAGTGATGAGACATGGCATTCCATTTTAATATTTTAATTTTTAATGATTTTGAATAAAGTAGTAAAGAGCATATATGCTGTTAAATATCATACTTAGCAAATGCACTTCATTTACAGGTCATCTTTTTTTTTTTTTTTTGGAGATGAAGTCTCACTCTTGTCACTTAGGCTGGAGTGCAATGATGCGATCTCAGCTCACTGCAACCTCCACCTCCCGGGTTCAAGTGATTCTCCTGCCTCAGCCTCCCGAGTAGCTGGGATTACAGGTGCCTGCCACCACGCCTGGCTAATTTTTGTATTTTTAGTAGAGACGGGGGTGGGGGTGTTTCACCATGTTGGCCAGCCTGGTCTTGAACTTCTGACCTCAGGTGATCTGCCCACCTCGGCCTCCCAAAATGCTGGGATTACAGGCATGAGCCACCATGCCCGTCCACAGCTCATCTTAAAATTCTAACTTGACTGCATAAAAGTGAAATCTAAGTGAAAACTTCAGAGATAGTTTCACAGGACAAATTTTCTATGGGATATTAAAACATACTTAGCTATTATCAAGTATATGGCAAAGAGACAATCTTTGCATCTCCTACTTGATATTTGTGTTCAAACAATTTGGATTCTATTGGAGAATATCTAAACTCTTCCATTCTTTCAACATGAATAAAATAGCATCCACATCTGGAACCCAGACCACATGTGATGGCTCCACAGGGTTTGGTCAGACTTTGTTTTGAAACAAGGAGGCAGAAAACATAATGTGTTCCTAGCAAAAGAATCCACAGTCACAATAAAATTGAAAGAATGAGGCTGCATAGAAGAAAAAGATACCCCTGAAGAAACTGGAGAAACAAATGAAAACTTATGACACAGGAATAAAGTCATCATAAAATAAATGTAAATGAAAGTTTTTAAAAAGTTAAAAGAATTCACAGAGTGATTTTACTTTGAAATGGTATCCAATCCCATTAAACAAATTAGAAATCATAGTTTAAGCAGAAGCTTAAATAAAACACATTTTACTTAATCCAGACTTTCTTTTTTTAATGAAAATGCCCAGTCTGTGTATTAGGAAGAAAAAAACAGGATATAATGTTTGCATAGCCCATTTTCAATTGTGGTCCAAATGTTGTATTTAAGATCAATAAAATATAAACCAATCCTACAAATAAAATATAAAAAGGACAAATCTATGTGTCATTTCTGGTATTTTCCCTGCCAGCCAGCCCTGGAATCATAGAATGGGGAAAAAAAACCAACTCTGATCTTGTCCACCTAGTTTAGGAAGCACAGTGTATGGGATTATGTAAAAGTAATATGATCCTGAATGAAAAACAGGAGGATGGCGTCAATAAGCCACATTTGTCAGTTCCTTATCTGAGTGTCATGCCAGTAAATTTGGGGAAAAAAAAGTACTGAGAAATGGGACGACACAATCACACATAAACAAACTAAGGGCTGAAAGTGCAATCTATTTTTTTAAATGAAAAAATCTAAGGCTTTTAACCTGGAAAAGAAGTGGTCTGTTACTGAACGATTATCTGTCTCTAAGCCTTTACATAAAGATCTGTTCTCTTCCTCTTCAAGCGATTAATCATTATAAAATGAGCTAAAGATTTTTAGATGTTTTGGTTAGGCATAAATAAAAACATATTAAGAAATAGATTCTTTATCCACATGAAGTGTCTTCAAAATAAATTAGTAAGTTGGATTTGTTTATATTGATTCAGATAACATTTATCTGGAAACAAGTGACAAGATAATAACCTACTAAGGAGTTTTCTGGCTCCGGGATTCCATGAAACCTTTTGTTAAACACTAGAGACAACTTGAAAATTTTACTTAATGATATTGTCTAACCTAAGTGATCTTATGCTTTTTTAAGTTTAAATAAATATGACAACAGCTAAAATTTTTTAGATTTCATAAATTTTTTATGTTGTTAGTTTGTATACATGGTTATTGGAACTATATATTCCATACTAAATGATAATTACAAAATTATCTTTATATTAAATATTTTTAGGCTTTGAATGTACTTTCCAGACATAAAAACTTGAAGGAACTTTCTGTATCTGCATGTTATAGAATCACTGATGATGGAATTCAGGTAAGATAATTAAGATCTTCTGTTAAAGAATTAAGATTGAATTTTTTTAAAAAAATTATTAATTCACTTTATTTCTTATTTCTATCGTTTTTTGGGGAACAGGTGCTCTTTGGCTACATGAGTACGTTCTTTAGCAGTGATTTGTGAGATTTTGGTGCACCCGTCATCTGAGGAGTATACACTGTACCTAATTTGTAGTCTTTTATTCCTCACCCACTTCCTGCCTTTTCCTCCAAGTTCCCAAAATCCATTGTATAATTCATATGCCTTTGTATTCTCATAGCTTAGTCCCAGTTATGAGTGAGAATATACAATGTTTGGTTTTTCCATTCCTGAGTTCCTTCACTTAGAATAATGATCTCCAATTTCGTTCAGGTTACTGTGAATGCCATTATTTCATTCCTTTTTATGGCTAAATGTATTCCATGGTGTATACCACAATTTCTTTATCCACTCATTGGTTGATGGACATTTGGGTTGGTTCCCCAATTCTGTCTTTGCGAATTGTACTGCTATAAGCGTGCCTGTGCAAGCATCTTTTTTGTACAATGACTTCTTTTCCCCTGGGTAGATACTCAGTAGTGGGATTGCTGGATCAAATGACAGTTCTACTTTTAGCTCTTTAAGGAATCTCCACACTGTTTTCCATAGTGGCTGCACTAGTTTACATTCCCACCAAGAAGTGTTCCCTTTTCACTGTATCCCTGCCAACATCTATTAATTTTTGATTTTTTGATTATGACCAGTTTTGCAGAAGTAAGGTGGTATTGCATTGTGGTTTTGACTTGCATTTCCCTGATCATTAGTGATGCTGAGCATTTTTTTCATATGTTTGTTAGACGTTTGTATATCATCTTTTGAGAATTGTCTATTCATGTCCTTAGCCCAATTTTTGGTGGGATTCTTTGGGTTTTTTTCTTGCTAATTTGAGTTTCTTATAGATTCTGGATATTAGTCCTTTGTCAGATGTATAGATTGTGAATATTTTCTCCCACTCTGCGCATTGTCTATTTACTCTGCTGATTGTTTCTTTTGCTGTGCAGAAACTTTTTAGTTTAATTAAGTATAAATTCAATAAATTTTGTGGGTCACAGTAGAAAAAAAAGAAGTGGATTGGAAATGTAACAAAACGTGTATGATCTTAGTTGAACCAAGTTCTTCTCCGGGGTCTTAGTTAGTTCTCCACAGCCAAAGTGATTGAGATTTATTTTCCCATTTTTGCCTGTCTACTCTCTCCCTTCCTCATGTCCGATTCAAAATAAACAAGGACATTTTACATGGAGAGTGATGAACTGCAGTGTGGTAAAATTCTTCTCATATAAACAAAGTATCCTGTAGATAGAAATGTCATATAATCTAATCATGAAAGTTGGGAGAGTTTGAAAAATTATGCCAGATACTCAGCAATTGGGAACTTAAGCTACTCAGACATACTTGCTAGCATCCTTTATAGGAATGGAAAGCATAAGATAAGTAATTGGCTAGGATAAATGATTACATGCTCAATTGATTCTTCAAGAGCTCATGAGAAAAGTGAAATTCCTAAACCTAATCTTGAGTGATGTGCAGGAAGTTGTAAAGTACATATTGTGAGCAAGGCACAGTGTAATTTTTTTCATCACTTTAAGCATATCAATATGCTGTTAGAAAAAAACCCCAAAGTCATGTGTCATACATGTATTGAACAAGAAGGGAAGAAATAACCTAGGAATGCAAGCACTGAAACACACTGGAAGTTCCAGATAAATGTGCCTTTAGAGTTTAAAACCCCAACCACTCAGAAAAACCTGAAGCTAAAGTAGGAACAGAGAGAGAGAAAGAGAGAGAGAGAGAGAGAAAAGAAGAAGAAGAGAAGAAGGAGCAGGAGGAGGAGGAGAGGGGAAGAGGAGAAAGAGAAGAAAGGAGGAAGGAGGAAGGGAAGGGAAGGAAAGGGAAGGGAGAGGAGGGAAGAAGGAGGGAGGAGGGAAGCTGAGAGGGAGGGAAGAAAGAAAGAAAAATTTTGTTTTTGAGATAAAGGGTTTGTCCCACAAGTAGGAAGATAATGCAATAATAGCTGAGAAGTCCACAAAGCATGGCAAACCTGAAGTTATCTCTGTCAATTTGAAGTAGACTTTCCAAGAAGTTTTAACGTGACTAATAGGAGACTGTTAAAATACCATCCCAACTAGTGGACTGTAGAGGATTCCAGGTCAAAAGATGCTCTAGACCTCTAGCATTGAATTCTAAACTTCTGGAGCTGAAAGAATCTTAGAAACATCTAAACCAACTCCCAAATGTTAAGGTAGTAAGAATAAAAAATTACCTCAAAGGCCAAGAGGGCTTAAATGACTGGCCCGAAGTCTTATACCTTCTCAGCAAACTAATTCAGTAACAGTTTTATGGAAGTGAAAGGTAGAAACAGAGAACTGCTCTTCTATATGGTTGATTGACAGCTTAGTGAGAAAAAATTTTTTCAAATTATTTTTGCTGTTTCTCATTGTGTCTGAACAATGTAATTATACTTAAGGGAATCTACTTTAAGGAGCATTAGTGTCACATAATGTCAGTTTCCCCCAATATTAGACCAGGGGTACTAATGTTCTAAGAAGTCCCTAAGAAATCTGTCTGGTAGTATATTCAATAGTATAGAGTTAAATAAACAAACATAAAACAAATATCCCAGAGAGGACTAGAAACTTCCGTATTGGAAATATAACTCTTTAATAACAAAAAGGGTTGCAACCATTTAGATGTATGTAACCTACTAAGAGAAAAAGCCAAAAGATTGCTCTAAAGTTAAACCATGATTGACTTGCTGCAATTAACTTAAGGGTTAAACATACATTTACACAAAGCTTCATCTATAAATACAATATAGTCAGGCTTTCAAAAGATCTTTGACAAAGTGATAGACTAGAAACAACAGTTTAAAATATTGACATTTCTAATACTGGGTTATAGTTCTCATATGGTGATCAATTATATTTGACCAATTTAGAAGTATTGAAACCCACCATGGTGATGACATGGCTTCTTAATACGCATCCTTGATTAATTTTGGGTGCCCCTCTCATCCTTGGGGTGAAAGAGTATTGACCAAAATTTGATGTTAAGTATCAGGAGACCAATGTTTTCTATCATTTATTTTTGATGCTGCGGGGTCCAGACATTTTTCTTTTCACTCTTTGGAGCCTAAAAATTGTACTATTTTTAGGTGCTCTGAGACTGTAGATGAAAGCACTTACCCATTTGCTAACTATATGACCATACAGTTGGGTTTTGGCATATCTTTAAAACAATTTAATCTTTTAAAAACTGACATGTATTTCTTTTCAGTAGTCTAAAAGATTAGTTGTTCTACTCTAGTCCATGAAAAATAAATTTTCTTTTTTTCCCTTTATTTTTTCTAAAAAGACAAACAAACAAGGATACGTGTGTAGAACATGCAGCTTTGTTACATAGGTATACATGTGCCATGGTGGATTGCTGTACCTATTGACCCATCCTCTGAGTTTCCTCCCCTTACCCCCACCCTGAAATTTTTCTTTTTCATCAGTCCTCATCCCTCTTTTTCTCCTCCCTGCTTTTGATATGCATATGTCTGTGTGTGTCTGTGTTGTGGCTCCAGTTTTACCTCTTCCAAGGTTCATACTTCTGGGCATGTGATAATCTTTCTTCAGCCCAATTATTAAGTCCCAAAAGGGAACAGACAAAGCAAGGGGAGGAGAAAGTGACATATAAGCTAATTTCACAATTCCTAATCTGGATTTAAAAAGAGAGCAAAAGAGAGTAAAATAAGGTGAGTAAATTGAGATGTTTAGATTATCCTCACTTTATCAAGAATGCTCTCTTGTTACTAAGAAAAGGTAACTATAGGAGAGATTCTGTTTTTAGCACAAGACCTTGAAAAACTTATACACTACATAATTCACTTAATGAGAAAAATTAATACAGTTTTCACCCTGGTTAGGTTTTGCAAGAGTTGTGAACATAATAAGAATAAAAAATTACCTCATTTTAGTGTTTAGTGGAAACCACAGCACATGCAGAGTCAGTGTCTGGAGCCTCAGATGTGTTGACTTTTAGGATCTGGCTTTAATTACTTTCTCCAACTTTAGTTCTTTTCTGAGAACAACAGACATTCAAATGGTTATGTTACACTAAAATTATTTGGTGCTCTTGAAAGTCATTTTGGAGAAGATGTTTGATGCAGCTGTAACTGAGCATTTCTTAAGAAATCTTTTTCTTGAGCATTTTATGAAGTCAGTTAAATAACAGCCAAGTATGGCAAAGGACTTGGCTTAAATGTGGTGTTATGCTACAGACATATTAGAACTTCCATCTTACTAAATTTTTTTGATAGAACCAATGGAATAAATCCAATTATTTATTCTGGTTGCTTTTCATACTGTTAATCTAGTTAGCATTTCTCATTCCCCTTTCCTAGAATGAAGCATAATATAAATATATTTATATACTATCCATACACATGAATGTATATTTTTATGCAGATTATCTTTAAATGAAAACCTTGCAGCTAGACAAAAATTTCTAATTATTTCATTGTTAGTAGGTTGAGGTAGTTAAGAAATGGTATTAGCAGGAAAAAATCAGGTTTCATCAGGGTGCACCACAGGGACTGACAGGTGTGTATGCAGTGAAAGCGTGCATATATGTGTGTTTACATGCAAATATATGTAAATGTACATCTATGTCTAGTATATGTGGGTAAATTAAATATATGTATACACCTTGGTATATATTAGATCATATACATATTTCAGTGTGTATATGTATTTATTACACCCAAATTGTATATAGAGAGATGTCATATGATTATATATTTCTAGGCTAAAGCCAATACATCATGGTCAATATTCAAAGCAAGTAATAAAAATTGGTTTGTCGGCTGGGTGTGGTGGCTCACGCCTGTAACCTCAGCATATTGGGAGGCCAAGGCAGGTGGATTACCTGAGGCCAGCAGTTTGAGACCAGTCTGGCCAACATGGTAAAACCCCATC